AAAGAGCAAAAGAAGGACTAAGTGACATTGGAAAGGCAGAAATATTTACTTATTCAACTAGCAAAGCAGCACAACAAATTTTAGTAGAAACAAATGTTCTGCTTAGGTACAGAAGGGTTGGAAAAAGTGGGAAAGAGCATTAAAAATGAAGGCTGCTGGCACCAATTTTTATTATTTTTTTCCCTGCTTAGTATAGCGAAGGAATTGTACCTCAACATCCATTTGATCTTTGTATTAAATCATGAGAATTGCTCATCTTAGTCACACAGAAATCATCTTCTCCTTTCCACATTTCCTCACATTTTTAAAACAGAGAAGAAGCAGTCCCAGTATGAACTGTGAAGAAGACATTGCCAAGCTCTAATGCCAGTGACTGAGCCAGAATATATCCTGAACTCCATAGAGAAGTAACCAAAACAGGATAACCTGCAAAGATGCCATCTGTGGAACAACGCAGAACAAGGAACCGTCTATTAAAATACATGTCAAAAAAAACAGGAAATGATACCTGAAAGGGACACCTTCATTTACTGTTTTTCTCCTTTTATACAAAAAGCAGAGCGGTGTCAGTAACGCCAGAGAAAGCCATTTACAGTGTTAAAACCCAGAGGTTTTTGGATTTTGAAAGGCACAAACACCTCAACAAAAAGTCCAGCTGCTCCTCTAAGCAGTCATTTGTTTCACTACTACAAAGGAACCTCCCACTACCAGACCGAGCCTAACAACTTCTGGTTTCTTGGCTAGAGTGGCAGACCAAAGAGGAAGGGTGCTGCAGAAGTGAAAACATCGAGTGCCCAGTGCACAAGCAGAAATCTAAACTGGGAAACAGCAAGATATTCAGACAGACACACAGGAAGATCCTCACGACATCTGTGATTGCCTTTCGAGTGGCCTGAGGCACGGTGAGAGGCACTGATTAATCTCTCAATCTCATACTTACTTGTTTAAGACTGGCTTCACTGACAACACCTGTACAGAGAGTGGGAAGAGTAGTCATTTTCATAAGTGAAGAGGGAATTAAAAGGCTATTTAAAAGCAGCAGTAGGATGAAGTTATGAAAAGAAATAATACAAAGTCAAGGACTTCTCTTGCTGGTTTTGTGTTGTCTTTTTTTAAAATCAGTTTTAAGTAAAACATTCTCAAAAAGCCCTCTGAAATGCACAACGTTTAAGTTCTGTGAACTAAGTGGCAAACATGACTCATCTCATACTTTATCTGCCTGCTCTAATATTTATAGTTGTGCTTGAAACCAGGAACCGCCCAGAGATGATGGTGATGGGATTCACCTCTTGCCTTTTCTGCTTAAACAGGCAGACTATTACGAAACGCCAGTGCAAGGGAGTTCAGATATGTTTTAACAAACAACCTTATCAGCCTCCACCTCTCCAGACGTGGCTGTGCAGTACACCCTTTTCACCAGGCCTTCCTTGCACAGCTTGGAAATCCCTGACAAGAAGGTAACTGCACTTCTGATTTGAAAGAGTCCAAGTCTACATGCCACAAAGCAGAATTTAAGAGGAATACCTTAAAGAGCGTATCAAAATTGATGTGCTGCTGTCCAGTAGCATTGAGAGCTTTGATGGCCGGAGTTCTGCAGGAAAACCACACAGAAGCATGAAGACACATGGCAGTGTTCCAAACAAAGCACCAACGTGAAAAATTTTCACTAAACCCCTTGGCATTAAAATGCTTACCTTGGCCTAAAATAATCCAGAGCTCTGCATTCTTGTTTAATATATTTATTATTATTATATTGTGAGTCAATGTCTCTCACCTTGCTGAAGCTACTCTATTACTACACCACTGAGGACAGACCAAGAGGCAATCTGCCAACAGCTTTTTGCACACTACTCAGCCTAAAGATGGCATGATGTATGCAAGTATCTTCCTAGTGTCAAATCTTTTTTTCACTGTCAATCTAAATCCTTTAACTTGATATCAATCTAAAGCCTTTGACTTTTACTAAAGTTTGCTTTAGAATGAAATTTTTGGTACATGCCTTATCCTTGCAGTTTCTCATCTTTCATGCCGTTCGAAGCCACACGGACTTTTCTCTGGCATTTGAATATCCTTCCTTACCTTATCCTGCTCCCTTTGGAGCAGCATTACAGAACCTAAATAAGCTGCCTGCTCAGTGAGCTAACACCTGCTCAGAAAACACCCTAGTCTTGAGGCTTGTTCAAAATCCAAGTGTTATCTCACCACAGAGCTCCAAATTAACTTTACCTTCGATCATCAGAAGGAGGAGGGGTAGTCCAATGGTCATAGTTTGTCTCCACACGAAACCACCTATAACACAAAACACAAAAAGTAAGAAAAGGCCAATCAGTAAGGCTAAAAAAACAGGATTTCTATTTTGTCAAATGAAAAATATGTAGGGTTTATCTCTTGCAAGCCCAAGGGATCCTACCTAGGTATACACGACAGACTTTACCATAAACTCCCGAACACAACTGAAAAAGGAGCAACCTCTGAACTCCTCCTGGCCTCAGTGACTAAACTACTACTGAATACACTGAAAAAAAGATCAGACCTTAAAAGAAAGCATCAGAGAAAAGCTTATGGGTATGCATAGAACACAGCCTGCAGCTTTCAGTTTGGAGTACACAGCCAACATGCCACCTGGCTGTTACCAGTATTGGCTGACTGCAGTCATTGCGTGCTGTTATTCCCCGTAGTGCAAGCATTTAGCATCTCCTTCCTATATTAAGCTGCTCATTTCACCAAATTGATAGGTGCAGTTATTTTTGAGCCTTCCACCTTTCTACCACATTGGGTCACAACTAGTTTGGATGTGCTCAATTCACTGATGTGGTACTTGGCAGACAAACAGGAAAAGCCTTCGAGTCTTTTCTCCTTTGGAATCTGCATGAAAACCAAACACCTATAGATGCTTTTTCCACTCACTTGACTCTCTGGACTACTCCAACCTGACAAGGCAGCGTGATTCCTTCTCACAGAAAAACACTGGGGTTCCTTTCAGAGGCTTTCAAGCTTTTCCTGTTCAGCTGTAGACATTAGCAAGAGACAAACCTGGATCTCCCAAGGCAGTCATGTCACTAACCCTGCTTATCACTCAGAAGGGGATATGAAAGACCAAAACTAACCAGTTTTCAATACTTACGCTCCCCGTAAAGGATCAAGAGGCCAGAGATCTGCTGGCCCTCTTCTATTCCTCGTTATGACCATGCCTTCTTTGGGGGATACACCTCCTACAATATAGTAAACTTCAGCAATGATGGGCATGCCCGCTAGTCTGAGAACAGCTGACTGAAAGTCCTCTGCTCTGCTCAGGGTCTAATGCAAAAAGGAGATCACAGTGAAATAAGGATCACAGAGCACCATCAAGCACGAAAACTAGCACCGGGACATCTTATAAAGAAGATACAGTCCAGCTTTTCTGAACATGGCTATTGACTGTGAAGTGCTACCTACAAAATCTTACTCTGAAAATAGTTTTCCAAACTGACTAGCATATGAACATGGAATGTGTACGACTAGTAAACGAAATCATTAATCCCAGTTTTGCAAATATTCAATAAATTATTTAATATACATACACATATTAATACACATATATATCGTGAAAAATGAAAAAAGGTGAAAAATCTGCCATTCCAAAGACGGATGCATATCCATACTCTGCAAATTCAATTCTCAAAGACTTTCTATGTGAACAATAGGATAGATGTAAGGGCAGGGAAAACCCACTCCACGTCTTTGTTTTGCAAGTGGTTGAAAAGCACTTGGCAACAATGCTGAGTAAGGTAGAGGCATCGCCAGTAGCCAGCATGCCTTCTCCGGCTGTAGCCAGGGACTAACTGGGCCTCAACTGACACTTCTACCACCATGAAACTACCATTTTCCGGCACATGGTAAACTGAGTGCTATGCAAGAACTCAAAACATATCAGAGAGCAAGCATCACAAACCATGCAGAAAGACAAGGCAAGCCCTAGAGAACCATTATTTTCCTGGCTGCAGCACTGCAGCTAGTAGTCTCAAGTCACAGCATCAAGTGACTTGTCAAATGCAAAAAAAAACGAACAATCAAGTGTCCAGTGGACACGCCAGTTCTGCAGGGATTTTAGCTGCAAATCCAATCATTCACGTTCACTGTAATTACTGAATTTAAGAAGCAGCACACTTAATTTGTCTTAGCAGTACCCTAACATAATAATCCTAAAACGTGCAATACAAAATCTCAGTCTAACTCCTGCTGCCCACCAGCGAGCTCTGCATTTTTAACATGGAAACACATCAGACCTAGTGTAAAATAACAACTGAGTCAAACAGTCACCATCTCAGAGCACAGCTGTGTGAATTACTTGGATTACAAGTCACAGCTACCCAGTAAACTCCCTGGGAAGGAAGTCTTGGCACAGCTTCTCTAGGAGTTTTGGCATTGACTAGAGATTGTCCCCCTGAGGGACTGGAATTGCCTCTCATACACATCCCTGACCATCTGGAGACAATACTTATTGCCCTCTCATGAAATGCATTTACTTATCAATTGATTGATTTTTCTATGAAACTGAAAGTTGGAACATGAAATTTAGCCTGAGTTCGCAAGTACAAACGACATCACTGTGAAACACGATGAAATAAGTCAGCACACTTACGTCTCGGACAAGCCAGCTGACAGGGTAATTCCGATTCAGAAAAGCAGCTATTGCATTTTCCCACCACCTACCACCCTCTCGAAAAAAAAGGAAAAAAGGACAAATTACTACACACGCGTTAGATATACTGTGAATTCCATCCTCCTGCCTTCCTTTCTTCTCCACGTCCCATCTCTAGCTCTGCAACCTTTCGCTCTACTGTGTTACACAACAGCAGTTATGATGAATTCCACAATTCTGACTATACCACTGTAACAAAACCAGCAAATTTTATACCGAACTCACAAAGCACACACCACCTGAAAGCAATAACTGCCTCTGTACTGTGTTGAGCTTATCAATGCTGCCTAGAACATTCAATGTCAGTAGTGCTCCTTTTCTTACGTATGACTGATATCTATACATAAAATAGGCAGGATGTGCTGCTTAACCAGGCTAACATACCCTGGACAAGCCCACTATTTCCATAATTTTTCTTTCAAACGCTCCGTTTTCTGCATGACTAGACTTGGATATTCAAATGCAACAGAAAGCTAAATCCTCAGTGAAGCAGTGCAGCTATGTACCAGCATAAAACGTCAACACTTCAGGAAAGGAGCTAACCAAGTGCATAATATCCAGGTGAAACTACAGGTGAAATATAAATAGACAACATAATCCCAACTGAAGTTCAACCAGGGCAGCTGGATTAACACCTCTGCTTTCCAGAAAGCATCTCAGACCCATAACATTGACGTGCCATAAGAGGGTGCCGTCAAACAGTGGGAAGTCCGAGGTAGAGTGGAAAGTAAAGATGACAGACAGTGTTCAGCACTGTACAGAAAATACAGAATCTCTCAGAACTGGCCAGTGCTAGCCATTTCCCTGAAAAACTATCACTACTCCTTTCAGTATTGGTGACTTGCTAGGTGCTCACTTTTTTAACAATTTTTATTCATAGCTGAACAATAAGCAGAGTTGAAGGTGACTGTAATAGGGACTAGCACTTGGTAACACATTTCCAAAAGGATAGCATGTCTTTTCATTTGATATAGTAGCTTGCATCTGTCAGCAAAAATATTTGTGTTAATCACAGCATAATTGACCTTACTGAATTATTACAGCAACGGGAAGAGTTACACAGAAATCATGAAATAGCTAAAAAAAGGTAGTGATCGTGTTCCTGTGTTACTGCAGAAAATTAGGAGAACTAAGAACACCAGAAAGTCAAGTGTGTCATTATTCACATGCCAAAACCAGAAAAGCCCACAGAAACAATATGCTTGTCACTTGACAGACCTTGGCCCTCATCTGAAGTCACCCCCCTTTTCAGCTGTAGTTCACATGCTCATTTCCCAAAATTTTTTTCAGTTGCACAGCCACAGATGAAGCACCAAGCAGACAGCAACCCCTGATTTTCCAGAGTGCAGCATGTGTTGAGTGAACTCTTCTTGTCTGCAGTTCCAAAGCAAGTGCAGTCAAGGCACGCAGGTAGATAACAACACATCAGCTCCTGATGGACCAGAGGGCCCATCCCACCCAAAAGCTTGCTGATCTTAGTTCCTCTGTCTGAATAAGGGTAACAGAAAGGGTTTGTGCCCAGATTAAACCACCTCACTGTGGTCTCAGATGATCTTTATACTGAGGGCTGAAGCACACTGCTGAGAAAGAGCAGGGAGAACAGGGCAACACTGGTTCTGTCCCCAGATAGTGCCAGTTCACAGACACAGGACTCTGGTCTGCAAGATATTCTAAATCAAGCCTTTTAGCAAGACTCAGTAACACTTAAGGCTTTATTTCCAAGCTGATATTGGTGCCAACTAAATGCAGTTTGCATCTCTTGTTATCAGTCCAGGACACTCCAGTTTTGAAAGGATTCAACTACACTAGGTTCAGAAGCAAACTCTTTGAAAAATGTGTCTTTAAATTAAGCAAAGAATCTAGTGACTGCAACAAGGCAGCATTAACTAAGGAAACAGGAATCACAAGGTGCATGTGTCCATCGCAGAATCTCTACTTCTACAGATAATTAATATGTACATAATGTAGACAGTCAATAGTTTTTGCATAACATCTCAAGTAGAATTTTGAAAACGAAAGATGGTCTAATTCAAAGATTAAGAAGAAAATTAAAAATGCTTACCACACTCCCAAGGGAAAAACAAACATGTATTTTTCCAGTTTTAAAAGAAAAACACTTCAAGCTCAGATGACACTGTACTGACAAACAAATACTTCTCTCTGCTACGCAGCAGCCTGAAACTGGCAGCCTGGGTGCTTTCTCTCCCCAAGGCCATTAGAGCTTCTTCCTGGCAACCTTCATTTTTTTCTCCTCCAAGAGAACAAGAGCCAAGGGCCAGAGCAAGCCACAGCCAACCAAAACAGTTTATGTAACATCAAGTGAGGAGACAGTTTTGTTTTACCTCGTTCATCACCGGAAATGGTGAACTTGTGTGGACTTTGTCCAGTCCATAGGCCTACGTAACCAAGAAAGGTGGTGCCTTGATACGCTACCTGAAACCAGGAAACAGGCAGTATTTCAGCTTTCTGGCACAGCACGCCGCTCCAAACATGGGCAACATGCTTAAGCAGCGTCTTGTTATTTTTCCATGACGTTCATACATTAACTGATGCACAAAACTTTGCCTTAGGTTACAAAAAAACTTGCAAAGTGAATTCTAAAAACACTCCGAGGACCAAAATAATCTGCATTTCATTTGTTAACCATCACTGACTGCTACCAAAGTTTTACTCAAGTGAATGAATAGCCAAAAGAAAAAATTCTCTATTTGCAAAACAGACTAATGAACATTAAGAAAATGACATGCAAGGACTGCACTAGCAACTAGTTCATTTTTGCAAATCTTCATCTAAAACACACATATTGGTCACAAAAATTAACAAGATGTCAGAAAAAAAGCCTTGGAATCGGTCCCTGCTGAAACTGATATCTTACTTTATATTCTCTATTATTTTTTTAGTATCTCAACATTTCCTTCTTTCAACATCTCCTTCCAAATAATCATCCTGAGATAGTAAATTATGCTGTTCTATTTGTTCCACTTTATCACCACAAACTCAATGTCCAGACAGCAAAGAAAACCAGCATTGATCCCACCTTCCTCGAGACAGTGACTGTGCTGCTCTAGTAATGCAGCAAACCTGGGATCGGAACCATGTTCCTACATAAAATCCAGCTGCCTCCCCAGCTGTTGACGCGACCCCAATCCTTGACAGAAAACCATCCCACCACATCCTCTCAGATCATACCTGCCCGCCTCGCAGAAACCGCACATCGATTGTAATCTTGCTCAATATATCGACGAAATCGTAATCCAGGTTGCGACCATGGAAAATGTTTCCTTTGTCATCCTGAGCGACAATGCTAGTACAGAACCTTCCAGAAGAGAAGGAGAAAGAATGATTTAAGCTATAGCTATGACAACACTGTCAATTTTATAGTTGAACATTTCAGAAGGAGTTAAGAGTTTATCTTCTGCAAAGTATTTTCCAAACACAGCAAGCATACAAGTAGGCGTTTGCTTTACATTGTGAATATACTTACGCTTCCCAATCTCTGAATAATCTCATCCCATACTTTTTCATAAAATTTCTTACAGGTTTTAATATGAAATTGGGGGGAAAAAAAGGACAAAATGGTCTGACTGAAGCTCTCCATAACACTGCAGCATCTTGCAGGACTTATGCACAATATACATGAAGGAAAGACTGGAATTTCTTAAAGGCAAAACTACACAATATTTAAGTTATCAAGTCTCACCTGGCTCAAAAAGTCAAAAGCTGCACTACAGTCCTCATCAGGACAGACATTACCAGGCAGGAAGCAGCATTTCCACTGGGGAAAAATTTCATTATTTCATTTTGCTTCTTGTCTAAATCGAGATTAAAATCTGACATGTAAAACCAGCCACAAAGTATCATTCTGAAACTCTCTGCATTTCATTTTGACAGTTATAGCTAATTTCATTTCAGTTTGGACCCTGGTTATATTTTTAATATCACAACTAGATAAAAAGCTCAAACAAAGCCCCTTGCAACTGAAAACATCACTTGTTGCCAAAGTGTCAGCCATGTCAATCAGAGTTTAACCTCTACTCTACAACAGCAAGTGTGCTGAATTTCCTTTTTTAGTTACAGTTTCATTGCAACAGGCTTTTTCATGAAGTTTATTGACTTCCTAGGGCATGAACAACTTAATTGCGCTGGAGTTATTAGTTTGTTATTCCAGTGATGTATAGCACTGTAACACCTTTCACAACTGTAAAAGTGAAAAATTATGCAAACATGTAGTTTGTCCCTGGCTGATGTTTTTTCCTTAGTATCATGAAAAGTGAGAAACCTGAAATATCATGGGCCTTACCAGAGTTAAGAATGGTAAGTATACTCTGTTAAATAATAGGAAAGCTACATCTAAATGACTGTCTTAGCTGATATTAATTCTTATTAAACAAACAAAAGAACTACAACTTAAATACCACATGTTAAAAAAAAA